TCTATGTGAGAGATCTACACTGTGACTGCTAACAAGGTTGGTGGTTCAAATCCAGTAGCCACTCCCCAGAAGAAAACGGAGGCTGTACAGATATACAATCTTGGAAGCCGTGGCAGTGAGTTTACTTTTGGATTTTAGTTGAAATGTAGCCAGAATGCTCCATGGAAGTGAGGATGGCGAGACTTCATCTCACATACTTTGAACATGTAATCAGGAGGGAACAGTCTCTGGAGAAGGACATCATGCTTGACAACACAGAGGGTCAGTGAAAAACAAGAACCCCAATGAGCTAGATTGGCACAGCGGCAGCAGCTTGGGCTCCAACGTAACAATGATTGTGAGGTTGATACAGGACCAGGCAGTGTTTTGGTCTGTTGTGATTACATTCGCTATGGCACCTAACAACGACAGCAACAAGTGCAAGGGATGATCACCATTTTTTGTATGATTTCTTTGTTGATATGTTTATTGTTGTGAGGTACTGTTGAGTCAGTGTTGACTCATAACAATCCCATGTGACACAGTAGAACTGACCCCTAGAATTTTCTAAGGTAGAATGTGGCCCTGTGGGATACAGCACTGGACCACAAGGTCAGTCTGAATTACAAGGTTGGTGATTTAAACTCAACAGCCACTCCTTGGAAACCCTAGAGAGGGTCGCTATGAGTCAGAACCAACTCAATGGCACTTAACAACAACAGTCATTACAGGGATGTCCTGGTGTGGCGCTGTAGGATAAGCACTGGACTGCTAACCATAAGGTTTGCAGTTCAAACCCGCCAGCTGCTCCTTAGAAACTCTAGACAGGGTCGCTGTGGGTCGGAACCAACTCAACAGCACTTAACAACAACAACAATCTTCATAGGAGCAGGTCACCAGGACTTTGTCCCAAGGAGCCACTGAGTGAGTTTAAGACACTAAAAATTCAGTTAGCAGCAGAGCGCTTAACCTCTGTGGCACCAAGGCTCGTTATCTCTGAGTCTATGGATTCTTTGCTTCTTTAAATAACTCAGGTGTAGTAGGACAAGCTTGGAGTCCCAGAGTGGTGCTGTGGGTTAATGCGCTGGACAGCAAAGTTGGTTTGAACTGCAAGGTCAGTGGTTCAAGCTCACAAGCCACCTCTCAAAAACCTATACAGGGTCACTATGGGTCGGAACCAATTTGAAGGCACTTTACAAGTGTGACCATGTTATAATCTTGCAGGACTGTCCCCTCTTACATGCTGACATCATACTTCCATTAATGGTGCTTATCCTACAGCGCCACATGTCATCATTCTCCACGGGTTGGTCCCTCCCGAGAACATGCCCAAAGTACCTGAGGAACACCGTAGCTGTGCTTGTTGCTGGGAAGCATTCTAGCTGTATTTCCTCCAAAACAGATTTGTTCATTCTCCTAGCAGTCTGTGGTATATTCAATTTTCTTTGCCAACACCAAAAATTCAAAACAGCAATTTTCTTTGGTCTGGAAATTCCCCAGTTTTCACATGCAGATAAGATGATCAAAAAAAAACAAACAAACTATGGTTTGGGTCAGATGCACCTTAGTCCTCAAAGTGACATCTTTGCTTTTTATCACTTTAAATAGCTTTTTTGCACCAGATTTCCCCTGTGCAATACATTGACTGTTATTTCATGGGCAATGATTGTGGATCCAAATAAAATGAAATCCTTGACAACTTCAATCTTTTCTCTTTTTATCATGATGTTGCTTTATTGAAGCATTTTTGTCTTCTTTATGTTGCAGTGTAATCCATACTGATGGTTGTAATCTTTGATCTTCATCAGCAAGTGCTTTAAGTCCTGTTTGATTTCAGCATTGTTACATCATCTACATATTGTTGTTGTTGTTATGTGCCATGGAGTTGGTTCCAACTCATAGCGACCCTGTACAGGGTTTCCGAGGCTGTAAATCTTTATGGGAGCAGAACACCTCATCTTTCTCCC